TTCGGTTCTGGGCCCAGCAGTCATTTTAAAGAGCAAACAAAGGATTAGGCCCGGGGTAGGAAGCCCCAGAACATGCCCCCCGCCTGGCCAGTTACTCAGCCTTGCCTTTGTGCCTTTTCCTGCCCCCGAAGAAAAGTTTCTGTGAAGTGGCAGTAGGCCACCGTACAGGATCTAGGGTGTTTCTTTAGGAGTTAAGTCAGAGGAACAGCAATAGATATGTCAATGGAAAGATGTTTATCAAGGAGTAGATAATTCACATCTCCATCCAGAAGAGAATGAAAGAAAAAAACTGTCTCCTCTTTTGCTGAATTTGCATCTCCTATCCAGAGTCCCCAAGAATATAATTTTCCTGAAACACATATTTTCTTCTAAAGAACCCAGATTCTTATTTCCTTAGTCCAGAGTCTTGGGACGCGCCCCTTAATCCCTGAGTATGAACTGAGTTTCAAGCTAATGTGATTTACCATTGTCCAAATTAAATGACTCATCATATGCCACTACGGGACTTTCTTGGACTTTCTCTAACATTCTCAAAATGTCATTTTCCAGTAAGAAAATGGCCAGAGCTCTCTACCACCTCAACGTCCCTGTCACCGTGGTCCTGGATGCTGCTGTTGGGTAAGCTTCCATCTTCCCTGAGCACCGTTACTTGTGGTCACCCACTCCCAGGCTTGGCTTGGAGCGAGGTTTCCGGATTGAAGGTTGGAATCCCATTCATAAAACTCCCCTGGGTAATGTTCTGCCTCCAAATTGATGGCTGCATTAAACCAGCAAGCTCGTGAAAAGGTCTTGATGGTATATGCAGGAGACGAGCTGTAGGGTGTTGCAGAGAATGGGAGTCATTTATGTAGTCTACGGTGCATTTTGTCTTTTTTTTAAAGATTTTATTTATTTGTCAGGGAGAGAGAGAGCACAAGCAGGGGGAGCAGCAGGCAGAGGGAGAAGCAGGCTCCCCGCTGAGCAAGGTGCTCGATGTGGGACTCGATCCCAGGACCCTGGAATCATGACCTGAGAGCCGAAGGCAGACAAGCAGAGCCACCCAGAGTCCCTTACGGCACATTGTAAGAGCAAGGTGCCAAAGCCGGGTTAGGGTCAGCACACGTAATCAGTGCTCCCTCCTCAGCGGAAGGCATGGGCTGTCCTCAGTGGCACTCTGGGGTTCTTGGACTTACCCATGCAACTTCGCTTCTAAAACTGAGGACACACGTTCTGTGAATTGTCAGTGTACCTCACAAAAGAAAACAGGACTAAAAGTCCCTCGGGAAAAAAAAAACAAAACACTTATTAAGGCAGATGATTAAGGAAATTAGGAATGCGTTCAAAAGAAAGCATTTGGAATAATTCTACTTAATTGCCCATTTTCAGAGGTAAATTGGCCTTCACCCTAGCTGAAAGATTGTTGAATTACGTAACATTTTCTTCCAACTTCGGATCACAACAGGTTCTTAAATTTTTGTTTTTTGTATTGAAGTAGATCAGAAAATAGAGTGTACCACACATAGTGAGGATAAATACTGGGTCACGAAATTCTCACGTCAGTCACTACACCTGTACACACACATGTGCTGGGCGGCCGTGTGGAGGGCACATTTACCAGGGGGTTGTGATCACAGTGCATTTTCATGCCCCTGCTGGCAAAACCGCCAACAGTGCCCAGGGTGGTCTCATGGATTGAGTGCTCTTTTGAAGAAAGTAAGTGATGAGAGGAACTTTCGGTGGTGAAAATGGAGTATTAATCTTTGCAGGTGATGCTGCTTGCTACTCATAAGAGCATAATTTTTTTTTTAAATTTCTTTAGCTATATCATGGAGAAAGTGGATCTTGTCATAGTTGGTGCTGAAGGAGTTGTTGAAAATGGGGGGATTATCAACAAGGTAAGAACATCAGTTCCCCACAGCTCCTTGCTCCAGGCAGGGAGGGGTCGCTGACCCACATCCTGGCGGTAGCAGGCGATGTTACGGTTCGCTCATCCAGCCCCGCGTGGCCTCTGGACATCACCGTCGCAGCAAATTGTCTCCGAGTCCCCAGAGGCCACTGCAGTGGCCAAATTTTGGTCACATTTCTTTGATCTGTGTGACTCATGAGAATGCAGTTTATCTTTTCTCAAAAACTATTTTAACTGGAATTGGGTTTGATTGTTGGTTTTGTTTTTTTTTTTTTAACGGGCATATTTGACATCGGTATAGTGTGGTGTTAAAATTTCTCTATTCCTTGCTTAACATGGAAAGATTTCATGATCACTTGTTTTTTGCATGGTGAAATATACATAACATTCGATGTTCACGTGTACAATTCAGGGGCGTGATTTCACGCAGCACGATGACGTTCTCAAAGCCCATCTTTGTTGTAGCAGGTGTCCGCACACCGTCCCTTTTTACGGCTGAGTCACATTCCATTGTGCGCAGAGAGCACATTGGTTTGTCCGCAGACTCCTGTCCACTTGAGTTGTTTCTACGTTTCTGCTGTTGTAAATAACGCTACTACAAACATGGGTGCAGAGTTATCTATTTGAGTTCCTGTTTGCAGTTCCCGTGGGTACGTTCCTGAGTGGAATTTCTGGGTCACTTGATAATTCTGAGGACCCACCAGACTTTTCCATAGTAGCTGCACCCTTTTCCGTTCTCCTTAACACTGTACAAGCATTCCAGTATCTCTACATCCTTGCCAACACTTGTTAGTTTGGCTTTTTTTATTATAGCCATGCTGGTCTGTGAAGTAGTATCTCATTGTGGTTTTGACTGTGTTTGCCAAATGACAAGGATCTTGAGCATCTTTTGAGCATGTGTATATTGGCCATTTGTGTATCTTTAGAGAAAAGTCTATTCTGTCATCTTTTTTAAAAGATTCTAATTCCAAAGCCAGACTTAACCTATATTATGTTCATTCACACACTTTCGAATATGCTATGAGATCTCATCCTTCTACTTTTTCTCTGACTCTCCAGATTGGAACCAACCAGATGGCTGTGTGCGCCAAAGCCCAGAACAAGCCTTTTTATGTCGTTGCAGAAAGTTTCAAGTTTGTACGACTCTTCCCACTAAACCAGCAGGATGTCCCAGATAAGTTTAAGGCAAGAGTTTTTTTACATATTTGAAGGGGTATTTGAGTCTAAACTGAAACCTTTGGGAAGAAGCCGTGTAAGAATATTTCAGTAAGTTACTCCCCTCCCGTCACTAGTTTCTCCAACACTTGGGACACAAAGATCAATTGTTGGCTGAGCTCAAGACTCGGAGAGTCCCATTTGTCCCCAGAACTTCAATCTCTCGGTCTCTCTTAGGCGTGAGAGGGGGCTGCGAGGACGCAGGGAAAGCTGATGGTTCAGTCCCAGCTTTGGAGTCAACTCTCTGGGCTCAGCCCCCATCCCCACCGCTTACTAACCATGTGGCCTGGGGCAGATGCTCTCATTTTACGCTCTGAACTTCAGTCGCCTGTAAAATGAGATGAAAGTGCATTCTGAGCGTCATGACAGTTCTGAGATGATCCAGGAGAAAAGCTTGGCACGTGCCAGGCACATAGTAAGCTCTCTGTAAAGACTCGAAATTGTTATCTCGAGAGGTTTAGAGCTGTGAATCCAGCACACCAGTGAGGGGAGACACAGTTTGGGTTTTTCATTCAAGTGAGGCCGTTGGCCGGTAGGCCGCCATCCTCTGGCTCCGCCGCGCTGCCCTCCGCCCTCCGCCCTCCTCACCAGCGCACTGCCCGGCTGGCTTCCCCCATGCAGGGAACACTTGCAGGTAGTAGCTAGTAGCACGCTGATTGCTCAGGCCAAGCCCACACCACTTCTGAGCCCGGGGTGTGTGGGGAAAACCAACACGTGCTTCCTGTCTCCTCAGTATAAGGCAGATACTCTGAAGACTATGCAGACCAAACAGGATCTCAAAGAGGAGCACCCATGGGTCGACTACACCTCCCCTTCCTTAATAACACTGCTGTTTACAGACCTGGGGGTGTTGACACCCTCAGCAGTCAGCGACGAGCTCATCAAGCTGTATCTGTAGCCGCTGGATCCCTTCCTGCGGGCGCACAGCTGATGCACTTGGGCAGGGTGAGTAGCCTCTTGACCCCTCCGTGAGCCAGGCCACACTAAATTTTTTTTTTCTTTAAAGCTTCTATTTTTAAGTAATCTCTACCCACAATGTGGGGCTCGAACTCACAACCCTGAGATCAAGAGTCCCATGCTCCACTGACTGAGCCAGCCAGACGCCCCTAAAAACTAATTTTTTTTTTTTTTAATGAAGACTTAGGGACGAAGGACCTAAAGCCTTAAGACTTGGAAACTTGATCCATTTCAGCCCCATCTAAAATGTGTTCATGGTTTCCCTAAAACCCAACCTGAGTTGCGTCTATGGTTTCTAGACACTTTCCAGTTTCCAGAAATACAAGTTAATTATTGGCTACTTAACCAATGAAAGACATGCCCAAGTCCACCTCACCTCCCTTCCCTGCACTCCAGACTGATTTGCCAAAAGCATCGATTAAAGAGATGCAGGCCTGCAAGAGAGGCATTCCTACCTGCAGCCAGGCGCCCCTGCAGGAACCAACAGGCGCCCAGGACACGTTACAAACGGTGCCTTATGAGAGGCTGGAAACCCGGGTTGAAATCACATCAGGCATCCAGTGGTGACCAAGAGCCTGGGGCTGCCCTCCCCTCGGGATTGGGACAGACGGGACCGGAAACCACCCAGAAAACCCAAGGAGGGTAGAAACAACATTTAGGAGGAGTAGCCTCCGTGGCTCAGCACGTATGAAGACCCTCCAGAACATCTGTAAACTTGAAAGTCTGCATCTGTGGAAGATGTGAATTTCCTTTAAACGTGTTTGATCCCTGAAGAGCTTTTTAAAAATTGTACTTGGGGAAAAATTCAGCCATCTTTTCAAATAAATTACATGAAAGATTTTGATATGGTGTTGTATGAGTATTGAGCGCTACCCGAGGCCCAAAGGTATTGGCCATCTTGGCGAAGACACTGCAGCCACATTCACATACTCAAGACACTCAATTGGAAGGAAATAGTTTATTCGACACAAAGCATAATTTTTTCCCCTAGAATATGACTTGCTTCCTTCCCCCGCCAAAACTGTGGTGGGGACGATTCTTCGAAGAGAAGAAAACCCCAGCAATAGCAGCTGCCCCACGCAGGTGTTCTGTGCAGTTCCTCGGAGAGAGAACTCAAGTCCAGGGGTAGGGACACCAACGAAGGTCAGGTGCCTGAAAACACTAAGGAAACTTAAAAAGCCAAAAATCAAGTATACCTCAGTATCTTTATGTTAGAAAATAAGTATAAAATAGCCACAGAAAAATGAGCTTTAATTAAGATGTGACCCATCAAAATAAATACTGACCTCTGTTATTTACACTCAGTCTTACACTCTTCCGTTGGCCTTAAAGGCTGGTGTGGTTTTCATAAAACAGTCATGAGTGTGAAGTGTAGGCCCCCTCCCGACCCCGTCCCCAGTGTGAACATGGCTCGCTTGGGTGCCGGCTGCAGTATGGCGCACAATGAAAGCACGTGGCGCTGTGCGGGGCCGCTCGCCATGATCCCTGCACTTGTGTGTGCCCTGGGGCCAAGGTCAGCAGTCCTCTTCCGAATCAGGGATCCCCAGATCTGCTGTCGGGACTGTTCTCTTGCCACTTGAAAACAACCCCTTCTCAAATTCTTCTTCAGTAATTTTGCCTTTCTTAAACTTTTTCAAGAGCCTCGTGTCGTTGAGAAGTTCCTCCATGTCCTCGTCTTCAATATCACAACCCTAAGTGCAGAGAGCAACAAACCACCGAATTTCTCAGGGACCTGTTCTCACGGCAACAACACACTCTCAGATCAGCTTCCACAAACCCGTCATGCTCCCACCCGAGGCCCAACAGAATACAGAAATACAAGAGCCCCACGCGCTCCCCACTACTAGACACTATTTTGATAAAACTCATTCAGAATTCTCAGCTGAGTGTTCAAGTAATAAAGAAAAATGGTACCTCTTCTCTCTTCCTTTTTTCATTCATTTTTTTCTTCTTCTCCTTTTTGGCCTTCTGCTTTGACCAAGCTTTATTTTTTATGAATTTTTTTCTGCCTTCATTTTCTCTCTTCTCTTTTCTTTGTTGCTCCAGGAGTTTCTGCCTCTGCTTCTCTCTAACTTTATCTTTAAATGGGATGGTGTCTGTGTTAACATCCGCAGGCGTGAAATCTGGAAAATGCCTTCCCCTCAGCTCTGGCATCTTCGGCATCCTTAGCAGGGCAAACCCTCGAGCGAGACGAGCAAAATCAAGATCTGATTCAACCAAAAGGGCAGAGTTAGCACACCCAAAATAGAACCATGAGCACCAACCCAAGGAAGATGGCTACTGGCTAACCAAATGATCTAATGGGTTCATTTTAATTAGAATTAAAATAATTACATTTTTACCAAAAAGGGATAGTCAGCAGTGAGTCTGTTCTGTCTACACAAACCCTAGGAAGACTTCTTTTAAATATTCTCAGAAAATACTAACCCTGACATACGCCTAACATTTTTATAAGACAAAGCAGTTTCACACCTGCACTACTTGTAAGGCCGTAGGTGTTTAAGGAGACAATCACGTGAAGCGCACCTTACCCTTTAATCTGAATATGAGGTTGCATTCGTGCTTCGCATAAGCCTGGACGTAGGACACAAAGGCTTTCATGCCCTTTTCAAACACAGCTCTGTCGGCCAGGGCCATGGACTTGAGCTTTGGAAGGAGGTCTCCTGTGTTTTTCTGGAGTTTCATCTCCTGCAGGGGGCACTGCACACCGACCACATGCTCACCTCCTCTGTCCGGGATCCCCTCACCTCCAAAACCCCATCAGAGCCAGTGCAAAACCAAAGGCAAAACAATCCACTGTAATCTTCAATCAGAGACACTGACTGAAGCCCAAATTCCCAAGTATTTTACTTGGCCTGACATTTTTTTAAAGAAAAGTTTAAAATTTACTAACAATCCTCATTTCTGGTTGGAAAGTATCCAACAGCAGGTCTGGGTTCCCAAGTATACGGACACCAGCTGGAGCTGAGCAGTGGCTGCCACCCTGAATGGAGCTCGTGCCTCCCCACAGCCATGAGGCCAGCTAGCTCCTGCCCTTACATCACCACCTGGCCCCTGAGAGTGTGCAACCCCTCCTCTGAGTTCCGGACCGCTTGCTGGAAAAGAACCTACCAAGTATCCTGTCACTGGGCATGCTATATGAAAAAAGGAGACCACTTACTTTTTGGTTAATTTCAAGGAAATTGATATAGGACTCTTCCATGGGAAGGAGGAACACGAGCGCGCTGCCACCACGGCCAATGCGGGCTGTACGGCCACAGCGATGCACAAAGGCACTGTGAATGGAGGACGGGACCACGATCACCATGTGAGAGTGGGCGGAGCGGGGGCCTAGGGCCGCCAGACTCCACGGCTCAGCCCAACCCTACCCCTCACTAGGGTCACAACACAAGAGCTGGCAGTTAAATATGGACTGCAAACCAGGTAGGATTCTGCAAGACACTTAATGTGAACTAGAAAACTCTTAACATGTATGCCTATTTGATGACACAGGTAACACAGTCCTAGTAGAAAACTGGGAGACAAAAGCATAGAAAAAGTATAGAAAAGAAAAGTGGCCTGTAATGATCGTTATCGCCAGGAAGTCTATTCCCCCACATTTTCCTATGTTTGGAAGCATTTATGAGGAATATATGTTTGCTACGGGAGAGTAAGACGTTCATATACGGCGTCATGTATTACTTTCCTTTAAGCATCTATCAGATGCACTTGTGCAAGAGCTTTAAAAAGCATGTGGAGGGGCGCCTGGGTGGCTGTCGATTAACCATCTGCCTTCGGCTCAGGTCATGATCCCGGGGTCCTGGGATCAGGGGGGAGCCTGCCGCTCCCCCTGCTTGTGCTCTCGCTATCTGTCTCCCTCTCTCTCTCTGTCATATAAATATTTAAAAAAACTAAGCCATTGTTTAAAAAAAGAAAACCCGTGAAAATAACAAATTGCATACTATGGCATCACTATTTCCACACACCAATTGACAGTTCACCTGTTCATCCATTTTTGCTATTTAAAGTAATGTTTTGATGAACATCGTTATGCATATCTTCCTCAGAGTTCATGGGGCCAGATTCCTGACAAAGAGGGTCACATTCCGTCACTCCGTACCTTGCGCTGCTGGGAGGGTCGTACTGCAAAACCCAGTTTACTTCAGGAATGTCTATTCCTCGGGCCATGACGTCCGTGCACACTAAAATTCCACTAGAAAATGAGAAAACATCGTTCTGAGCAAGGGGGCCACCAATGTCATCACCACCAGTCTTTCCCAGCCCTCAGGAGGAGGACGACAGTAATGCACAGGTTCCAAACCTCTCACAGAAGCAAGCAGTTAGGAATCACATTTTGACTTGTTTTTCCTCCTAAGGATATCTAGGACTTCACAAATTCCCAACAAAAACAGGAGGTAGGGGCGCCTGGGTGGCTCAGTTGTTAAGCGTCTGCCTTCAGCTCAGGTCATGATCCCGGGGTCCTGGGATCGAGCCCCGCATCAGGTTCCCTGCCCGGCGGGAAGCCTGCTTCTCCCTCTCCCACTCCCCCTGCTTGTGTTCCCTCTCTTGTTAGGTTTCTCTCTGTCAAATAAATAAATCTTTAAAAAAAAAAAAAAACAGGAGGTAGGGAGGAGACCAGAAAAGACTTTTTTAAATGAGCATACTTCTCTTTAAAATAAGCCAAAAACTGTAGCAAGTCTAATCCTGAGGTGTAACAATCCATTCTATCACTCTGTCTAGAAGAGTGCTTTTAACAACACAGCCAGCAGGCTCTTAGAAAAGCAGAAAAATGTTACTTCCACACATAAAATTAATTACGGCCACTGAGAGATGCGAGGTCCCAACTGTGCAGTGACCAGACGACAACCTATGAGACTTCAATGAATTGCTCCCATCCGCACCCTCCACCCGTTCAACCAGTAGGTATCAAAACCCCCTGGGCCAGGCGCTGGGCCAGATACTGGGGAACCCGGGAGTGAACACAACACACAGGTCCCTGTTCTTATAGAGCTTACGATCTTGCAGGGAAGCTCATGATAACTAGGGATGACGGGGTCAGGCCGGGGCCGGGGCCCCCCCGGGGCCACACAGCTGTGATAACTACGCAGAGGAGAGAGAGGGTTCTAGGCAGAGAAAACAGCCCGTGTGAGGGTTGAGATGCAGAGGGACCTGCCAAAGCATAGCTCCGAGGCAGCTAACTCACCTTTGCAGTTTGCGGAACTCCATGAAGATCTTATTGCGCTTGTGTTTCATCTTCCCATGAATGCACATGATCTTCACACGCTTCACCAGGGCCTCCAGAGCCTTTCCATAGTATTCCACACAGGCGCAGGTGCTGCGAGAGGGGACAGCGGGCTCAGAGTCGCTGGCCACCTGGGTCCCCTACTGCTGGGGAAGGGAAGCGGCAAGCACCAGATGCAACAGAGAGGACCCGATCCTCTTTGGGAGAATGGCTACTGACAACATCCACCCTAAGCTCTACATCTGAAACCCTCCTGGAGTTCTGACATCAGGACAAAACCCCACCGTGGCAGCCACGGGGCTGGCTGCTTCAAGGCCATGCCCAGCCACTTCCTCCCTTGCCTCCCTCTACGGCAGAGGCTGGGACAGCAGCACACGCATTTCCTCTGCCTCTCTGGAGAGGAGCGGCTGCCCAGTGACTCACCTTTGGCCCCTGAAATGAAAGCCTGAGTCAGCTGGGGAAGCGGGGCTTCTGAGAAAGCTTTCTGCTCTTCTGATGTGAAGAGTGCCCTTCCCCTCCCCCTGCCTTTCCTCCTTTCTGTTTTCAGTGCAGACTGAAAACAGCGGGCATGACAGTGGCCATCTTCAAACCAAGGAAGGGACAGACATGAACAAAAGGCCAAGAAAGTCGCAGAAATACTGACCTGGACACTGGGGAGACATAACCCAATGTCAGGACCTGCCTAACCTCTGGCCTTCTTTCTACAGGAGAAAAATAACTCCTCCCGCTTAAACCACAAAAGTTGGGTTTTCAGTTACTTGCAGCCAAACACATTCCTGAGACAATTCCAAACCTTAGGGCTACATGCATCTGTACATTCTGGATGTGGCTGAACCCCAGATTCTCCTACCACAACATCCAGAAGGATTACCTGAAGAAGATCAGGTGTTTTTCCTGCTTACGATTTCGAAGAAAATGTACCAGCTGGTTAAATTTCTCATCTGCCTTACATACCTGCAAAGTAAAAAGGAAAACCAATTTAAAAAAAAAAAAACCTTACTGACAATAATAATCTCTGTAGCTGTTTCCAGTTTCAGCCTTAAATGTTAAGGAATCTGATTTCCTCCACGGATAGAACACATGCTAATTGGTCTACCTAGCTCAGAATGGGTATCAGTATGTGCTGCTGACACATACAAGTCACAGAGTCATGTAACGGAGAGACGCACAGTCACCTAATGCAATCGTCCCCAAATCCCAGTATACGGACAGGGACCACACCAGCTATATCCAGGGTAGATTTTTTTTTTTAAGTAAGTTCTACACCCAACATGGGGCTTGAACTCATGAGCCCAAGATCAAGAGTTGCACACTCTCCAGACTGAGCCAGCCAGGTGTCCCTCCAGGGTAGATTTTTTTTTTAAATGCAGATTCTTGGGCACAGCATACAAATTCAGTAGGTCTAGGATTGGACCCAAGAATCCATATTATTTAGGAGGCCCCAGGAGATTCTGTTACATCTCCATGTTCAGAAATCACTGCTCTAAGATGAAACCAGGTTTCCAGAAGAGAATGTACAAAATTTGAAACACCTCCACGGAGAGACTCCAGTCTCTCTTAATATAATCAAGTGCTCCGTTCAGGCCCCTAAATGGGAGACATCTAAACCCATCTGTATGCACGTCCCTATTTTTACCAAAACCAAATTCTCAATTTGGAATTTCTTCTCACACACTCAGATCTCTCTAAATGCAATCACTGAAATGAATACAAAAGAGCAGAAAGCAATTAAGAGCCATGGTGGGTGTCCAAAACTAACATTTATTAGTACTTACTACGTACTAAGCACGGGCCTAATCTGTATTAATCTGTATTCATCAATCAATCCTCACCACAACCTATGAAGTGGGTAGTACTGGAGCCCCCTTTGCACAGGTAAGTGCATCCAGTTCAATTAGTAAGGGACAAAGCCAAGATGTGTACCTGGGCTTTCTGTCCTGGGCAGCCCTGCTCTGGCACCCGCTCAGCCATACACACTACCTACGGACCCCTCCCTCTGCCCGGGAAAGGCCGGCCTCCTGACTTCACCAGCCCAGCCCAGAAACGCCAGCAATGAGGAAGGCCCCCCAACTCAGGTGAGCCTGCTGGATTTCAACACCACGCTGTCCAGCAGACCCCAGTCAGCATTATGACCGACCCGCAGGAATCAGCAAGGAGATCAGTGCGCACCATGTAGTAGTTCTCCAGGCGGGAAGGAGTTTTCTGAGTGCTGCTGGCCGCTACACCTTTCTCCTTCACCGAAATCCGGACAGGGTTCCGGAGGCCTGCTCGCACCAGGCTCTCCACTTCCTGCGTCTGAGTGGCAGAGAAAAGGCCTGTTCTCCTCTGCTTTGGCAAAAACTCCAGGATGGTGTTTATGCTAAAAAAGAGGGCTCAAACTTAACCCCTCATTTATCAGCGTAATCAACAAATACCACTTTATGATACTAAATAGATATTTAAAAGATTAGGAAAAAAGCCATCACAGTATTTACAGTGACGTTAACCAGGGGATGAGATTATGAGCAATTTTTATTTATTTATTTTTATTTCGTCTTTATACTCTCGTTTTTCCAAGTTTTCTCCAATATGAACACATAATTATACTTTTATCATGTGGGGCAATTAAAAGAGAATGAAGACAAAAAACTTTGGGACTAAAAACCAATGAACTATACATTTTAAGTAGCTAAACTATATATGAATTATATCCCAATAAAGTTATTCAAAACACACACACACAAACTTTCAAAGAAATCATGAAGGAAAATGCATCTTAAGAAGCAGAACTGGAACTTAAATTGTGTGCTAGAATTTGAAGGTTCAAACAACCTAATGATTTGAAATTCAAAGGAGGCCAAGAAAAGCAGTCATGAAGTGGTAAAGGAATTCCACTTTGCTCTCCTTTTTGCCAGTATCACCCAAAGCCAATGAAGCCCACAGTCCAGTACCTTGCCTCAAACCCCATGTCCAGAAGTCTGTCTGCTTCGTCTAACACCAGGACGTCAAGGGACCTCACACAGTTGGCCAGATCCAAGCCCTCCGCCTTCCTCCGAAACATGTCCTCCAGGCGGCCTGGAGTGGCCACAACGATGTTCCCACTTTGAAAATACAGTCAACATTTACCACACTCTCTGGATCTCGGGAATATCTGTGATTCCAAATACCAAGTTTTGTAAACCGCCCCCCCCACCCCGCCCCAAAAGTCATCTAAGTTCCAGTAAAGGGAAATACAGCCATGAGTGAGGAGACAAGGCTCAAGGCAGAAAAGTGAGGGCCATGAGGGAGGCAGACGGGTTCCGGGCCAAGAGTCAGGGCGGGGTTGGCACATGCTGGACTGCTGGCCACATCTGGCCTGCACACAACCATGCCCATCCGTTCATGCATTGTCTGTGGTGGCTTTCACACCCCAACAGTGGAGCTGAATACCTGTGACAAACCATGTGGTCCACAAACCTAAGATATTTACCATCTGTTCCTTTACAGAAAAGGTTTGCTGACCCCTGACCTAGAACAAGTTATTCAACCACTTTAGGCCCCAGGTAACTCATCTATAAAATGAGAATGTTAACAGATTTAGAGAGAATTTTATGTTAAAGATCACAGCCACGGACAAAAGGCCAAATACGGCCCCTATACACGGGCTGACCTGCAAGAAGTTCTTTTGTTTTTGGGGGTTTTTCAATTTCTTTTAGAAGGATTTTTTTTTTTAAGATTTTATTTATTTATCTATCTATTTGGCAGAGAGCAGAGAGAGAGAGAGAAGAAGCAACGGAAGCAGCAGAGGGAAAAGCAAGACTCCCCACTGAGCAGGGAGCCCAATGCGGGGTTCGATCCCAGGACTCTGGGATCATGAGCTGGACCTGAGCCGAAGGTAGACACTTAACCAACTGAACCACCTAGGTGCCCCTTAAAATTTATTTTCAAGTAAGCTCTACACCCACCGTGGGGTTCAAACCCACAATCCCAAGATCAAGAGTTGCATGCTCCACTGACTGAACCAGCCAGGCTTCCTAAGAAGTTGTTTTCTGTTTTTGTTTTTGTTTTTTTTAACGTGAATTACATGCCAATGGTTAAAAAAAGTCTGGAGCTAACACATAAAAATCTGGAATTCCATATTCTTTTTTAAAAATTCAGTATCTGGCAATACTGAGCCCCGAATCCCACAAGGCAACTATCAGCTAGAGATAAGGTATTTGGCCACATACTGGGCAGTTCCTACCCATCCCATCCCCAACCCTGCCCTTTCACACCTCTGACCCCTGCAGAACTTGACTTTGTGACCCCTGCTGAAAAGCATCTCACAGAATAGCTGGGCAAATGCTCAATAGAAGCAGTTCTCTTTATTAAGATTCTCTAACAAATTGGGCACAAAACTTATCACTGCTCATAATAAACCTTATTCATGGTGGGGCTGAAAAAAATCCAAAGGTATTCAAATACCCATCTGTTTATTAAACACCTGTGTGTGCTCAGCACCATGTGAGGCTCTGAAGATGCAATGCCGCAGGACAGACAGCACCCTGACTGCTGGGCCTGCCTGGGAACACAAGAAGCCTAGCCCATGCAGTGCTCTAGAGGAAAGCTGGGTCTGTGCGGCAGCAGAGGCGTGAGAAAGCAGCGGCAGTGGAGAATGGTGGCCTGGCAAGCCCTGTACGAACATCAGGATCCTTCCTAAAGGCCAGTAGAAGCCAATAAAGAGTTTTCAATGCGTGACATGATCAGGCTGGCATTCTGAAAAGGCCACATGGGTTGCTCTGTGGGCAGTGGATTATAAGAAGAGTAGAAACATATAGGAGAGAACGCTATTGCAGGAGCCCAGGAGAGACGGGGTGGTCTAGATCAGAGTGGGAGAGGGGGCGAGGGAGAAAATCAAAGGGCTAGAGACGTGTGCTCTGGAGAGAAAATGTGAATGATTCGGTGATGGTTAACGGGGGCGGGGTAGAAGGGACAGTGAGGCATCAAGACCAACTCCCAGACTTCAGGAGAAGCACAGGGGTAGACAGATGACTGGGAAACTCCAAATGACATGCACCTTTGGGGATAAAAAGCACCCATTCCAGACATGTTTGCAAACAGCCAGGAAATGCCCAGGAGATGCCAGGCAGATGAGCAGCTACCTGCAGGTCTGGGACTTGGGGTGAGGTCGGGGACCACCAGGAGTGAGATGAGACCACTTAGAGACCCCGAGTGAGAAAAGCAAGGGCCCTAAGTCCCATAGAGTCAGCCTGGGGAGAGAAGGGGGGCCACCCCGACTCCCTTCTCCTCTGCAAGGGGAAATGCCCATAAGGAAAGGACCTTATGGGAAGGAGCCAGCAGGCAAAATGGGAGGGTGGCCTAGAGAATACAACTTTTTGGGGAGAGCGGGTTGCCGAAGGGAATGCTCCCCGTTAGGCCTAGACCAGGTATCACTTCCTCTTGGATTCTGTGCCAAAAACAAGCAAGGAAAGGAGCAGAAGCAAGCAAACTTACCCTTGTTCCTTAAACCTTGCAACATCTTCTTCAGGATTCCTGCCCCCAATCCAGAGAATCTGGCTAAAACAAGAAACAGGTCTTCAGCAGGTCAGGCAAAGTAACAGCCCGTGGCTAACAGGGACACTGCATCCAACTCACCTGAACTGTGGGAAGGGCTTCGTGAAATGCGCCAGGACTTCATCTATTTGAATAGCCAGCTCCCGAGTGGGTGTGATGATGATCGCCCCAACCTGCCCATGGGCGGGGAAAGGAAATAATGAGCACAGTGGGCCCGCAGAGCTGAACCCACACACCAGGACCAAGCACCTCAGAGAGCCAAGCACTTCTGGGCTTCTTCAACTCCAGTCCCAGTGCTTTTCAGTGACTGCGCTGGATCACAGCCAGTTCTCATTACTGACAAACACGGGTTTCGAAAACACTGAAACGCTGCCTCTGGGGTAAATGCAGGGTAAGGTTCCGGCGAGCCTCGGGTCATGTTTTATCAATGAATCAATCAATACAGAAGCTGGTTTTATGTGTGCTTCTGTTTCAAGACACCTTGAATAATACACAGTTGATTTATCAACGCTGAATTTGCTGCCAGTCACACTGTAACTCTTGCCTGAATGAAGAGTATCTCGCACACTTGTTTTCTCCAAAAGGGCCATCCCAGCCTTCTGGCGCTTAGGAACACTAAACGGTGCTTCAGCTCTACGCTTGAGGCCATTTTAAACACTGAAATCACCAGCAAGAATACAAAAATCATAGCGGTAAAGAGACTGTGAGAAGGACGCCTTTTACAGCCTGAGAGCTAAAACGAGAAGGCAGAGTGTTGCCCTGTTCAGACTCAGCTGGGAACGTGCCCAGCACGTGACTCCGATTCTTTGCTTCTCTGCACAAATCCGTGAATGAGAGAAAACACAGTAAGTACTGATCTGGGGAGCCACAAATAAATTTTAACAAGCAGGCAAATTCAGAAATATAGTATTTACAAGTAAGGAGGATAGATTTTCTTTTCAATCTTTTGACCAGCTTCTGTGAATTGTGAACTCCACAACGACTAAGTGAAAACAGGCCACTCAGCTATCCTCACCTGATTCTTTTTCAACTTCTCTTCCCTTCTCAGAAGAATTTCCAGGATGGGGATGACAAAAGCGAGTGTTTTGCCACTACCTGTGACCTGCCAAGACGGAGCAAATTTGGTTTGCTTTTCCTCAGATCATTCTGGAGGGAAAACAGGGGGGCAAGCTGCGTTTCCATGAGGTACTCACCGCCTCTGCAGCGACATCTTTGTTTCTCATGAACAGAGGGATGGTTGCAGACTAGAGAAAGAGATGCAAAGCCCAGGTTAGAGAATGCCAGGCCCCATGGAGGTGGCCCAAGGCCCTAGGAACACAGTGGGTGGCCGGGGTCACAATGGACCCCACCACAACGGAGACTCTGACTACAGTCACCACAAGGCACCCCAGGAGGATGGGCTCCGAGGCAACATAGTAGCGGTTTCTACACGGTGTGGAGGGGACAGTCAGCTGAGCTGGGATTCGGGAGTCCTGAACACTAGCCCTGCCTCACCTCCTTTTCCTCTCTGGACCAGGAAGTATTTGAAGACACTGAGTTTTAGGGTCCCTTCCAGCTCTCATATCAAAAAACAATGATTCCAATAAACCCTCTCATTTTAAACACTGCAGGGGACCTCCAGGTCTTGTGAAAAGCAGACTCAGGTCTCAGCTTTGAGGTCATCCCCTTCAGGACCCCACTCCTGGTCCTCAGAGCCTGGGCTCACCCATCACAGCACAGATAGCACTTTTCTAGCAACCTCTATGCAAGTGGTTCTCAACCTGGATGATTCCTATGCCCTCAAGATACACGCAGCAATGCCTAGAGATGTTTCTGGTTGTCAGAACCCACAGGGGGGAGGGTGTGCTACTAGCACGTAGCACGTAGAGGCGAGGGATGCTGTTAAACAGCTGACAATGCCCAGGACAGTTCCCCACCACAGACAATTTGCCAGTCCAAAATATCAAGAGTGCCGAGACGGAGAAACTCTGCTCTAGACTCTGTTGTCCAAAAGAAACATGATGTGACCCACATACATGGTTTTAAGTTTTCCAGTAGCCACATTAAAAGTAAAGACATAAAATGAATTTTACTAATGTGTTTTATTTAACCCAGGAGATCCAAACTATTGTCACTTCAACATGTAATGAATTTTTAAAAAATTAATGATATGTTCCATTCCTTTTTTTTATACTAAGTCTTCAAAATCCATTGTACCTTTTACAGTTGGAGAACATCTTAATTTGGACTCACCATATTTCAAGTGTTCAAGAGCCTCATGTGTCTACTGACTCCCACAGTGGATGGCACAGCCCCTGATTACCAACACTGATGGCAGGGACTGGGTCTCCCCGCACTACAGTCCCAAGGCAGGGTTCCCGGCACTCCCAACTTTCATCTCCAGCTTCCTCCTCATCTTTCCTGAGGATCTCATGGACATCTCAACTCAGTAACTCTTGAATTTCCCTTGGAAACGTGTTACCTCTCCCTCCCTTCCCCATCTCAGTAAACAGTACGGCCACCCACCCAGCTGCTAAAGACAAAAACCTCAGACTCCCTCTAGATTCCTCTCTTTGGTAACCCCTATATCTGGCCCCCCAACAACCCAAATCCTCTCTTGAACTTCACTTCTCAGCATCTACTGCTACCTCTCTACTCCAAGTTGCCACCTCTCCTCACTTGACACTGGCCCCCTGACCGTTGAAGTCCATTCTCCACACAGCAGTCACCTCCCTTCCCTTCATACATAGTTTCCCATTAAGATGGCTTCCCACTGCATTTAAATAGAATACAAACCCCTCCGAGACCCTGCACAATGTGGACCCTACTTTGCTCATCTCTTACACTACGCCTGATGCTCCCGCCAAAGGCCTTTTTTCTATTCCTCCCAGGTCACCTCTAGCCCCAGGACATTTGCACTGGCATTTCTCTCTGCTGGCATATCCTGCCCCAATCACCTCACAGCCAGCTCCTCAATCATTCCCGTATCAGCTCAATGAGGGGCCTTCCCTAACACACCACCTTAACCTCCTGTCCTGGACCTTACTGTCACTGTCACATCGTTGTGTTTTAGTTCCTTAGTGACACTTATCGCCGACTGAAATTACCGTATTCTTCTACTCCTTTCTCCCTCCCCTGATTAGAAAATAAGGTCCATGCCTGGGGACCAACACTGCAAAATCCCCAGAGCCTAGAAAACCTGATACACCGTATGTCAACAAATATCTTTTGAGTAAATGAATAAATTGGGCCAGAACCCTTCACTTGGCCCACATAGTAACAACGGCAGGTAATATTTACTGAGCTCCCATAATGTGTCCAACACTGTCTTATGTAAGTCTCACAGCAATCCTACGAGACACGTATGAAGAAAACAGCACAGAGAGGTTAAGTCACCTGCCCGAGATCTCACAGCTAGAGGGGCAGAGCCGGGATGCAGCGGGCACTTGGGCGCCACGACTCCCAGGCGGAGGGGTCGCGGAGGTCAGGGCCCCCCACCCGCCGGGGTCATTAACCAGGGTGGGCAGCCTGAAGACGCGGCAGAAGTCCCAGGCTCGGAGCCTCCCTGCCCCGCCTGACACCCCCCCCCCCGCCCCGGCGCACCCTTCGCCGCCCGGCAGCGCCGGGTACCTGCACCGGCGTCATGTACGGGAAGCCCAGCTCCCACAGCGAACCCAGCACCAGCGGGTGCAGCCGAATCGGCAGCGACTCCCAGGAGCCCTCCGTCACGTGCTCCATGGCTCGCCCCCTCTGGCAGCGCCGCCACCGCCGCCACCGCCGCCACCTGGACGCCACCCGGGCGCCGCCGGCGAGCACTTCCGCTTCCGGCCGCCCGCGGGACCGCCGGCAACCGCGCTCTGGCAGCAGAGTTCCGGAGGGCGGGGAAAGGGTCCTCGTGGCCGAAGCGGGAAAAGCTGACTGCCCGGCAGCGAAAGTGGGCGGCGGGGCGCAGGCCCGAGTAGTTCCGTATGTCCTGCGCAGCCACCTGGGCTCGGGCGCCTTCCCACCGAGAGCAGGCATTTCGGCGGAGGGATTCTGCTCCGGCTCGCTGGCTTTCTGCGCCCATCAGAGGCAGGTGGCAGCACAAGACCGCGTCCTGGCCAAGGGACAGGTGGGTCTGGCGGGAATGGACAAACACGTGCCCCGGGCCCGGACCCCAGGTCAACGGATATGCTTAGTCGGGTGATGGTCGGGACCCAGTGCCCGCTACACAATAAATGTTGGTTTACTTCCGAGAAAGAGCCCCAAACGAGAACATGATCTTCCCGTTCCTGGGTCCACCGTGGGCTGGGGCCGCTCACTTGTCCACGCACACATTCGTTCAGCAGTTTTCACTCACCGCCTGTTACATGCTGGGCTCCGTACTTAACAAATGTCATCCCAATCACTGAAACCGCTCATCCTGCTTCACCTTCCCTCCATTGCACTTACCACTAACATGCAGATCAGTCGGCATAGTAGGTTCGTCTTCCCCACTTAAAGGTAAATCCCACGATAATCTCTTTAACCCAGCCGCTACAACTGGCAGCAACACAGCAGTCACTCAAATATTTTTAGGATGGATAAATGGAATAGTACTCATACAGATTCCAGTCATCACAAACTAAATGAAGTGAAACATAAAAAGCCTGAGGCAACGTTTCCACCGAAACAGGATCACACTTCAAAATATCTTTGACAACTGTTTTAAAATGGGACTTCCACAGTTCTGAAAGTAAAGGCAGAGGGAAAGAGCACACTTGCATTTGCATTGGGGGCTCTACTTACTAGTTTTTAGACCCTTGGATGCTTTCCAAGCCTGTCTCCCTATTTCCAAAATGATTATAATAGCACCCAAGGTAAGGGCTGTTTTGAGGAATAAATGAGACAGACTGCATATAGCACTTAGCATAGTGCCAGTACATTCCACAATGTTCAACCAATGACAGTTTACTTTATTACTAGCAGGCCCTAGTAGAGGAATCCTACTGCTAGTAGATCCATAGAGGAAGAGCAACAGTTTCTAAAAGCAGAGATCTAATTTCTGATTCCACCTGTCTTATCTGAGGGCCTTGCACAAATCACTGAATCTCTCCTAAACTTATTTCCCACATCCATAAACCAGGCAGTTGGGTATAACTCAAGTTTTTTTTCCAAATGAAAAAAAAAAAAACTTAAGAGGTTTAACTGAATCATCAAAAGAAACCACACAAGGAAAATATTGGGTTCCTACTCACTGTCCTCAAGTGTACAGACATACAAAGTGACAGACATCTGTAACAGGCATAGTAACTCAGAAAACACGGACATGTCTCATTTCAAATATGAATAGAAAGTTGATATTTAACAAATGTGAATTAATCATTAATATGAAACACAGAATACTGTTTTTAAAAAGAATTGTTTATTTACTGAACCTGGGGCAGATTAGATACACAACCAATTTTAAATGTACATCTTTTAATTCAATTTTGAAGTGTTTTCACACACACCCAAAAAAAAAAAAATTGGCATTGCAACAGTTGTCTTAAGGTAAAATATAGTCACCTTAAACTGTTGCAAGCATTTTCACCTAAGGTTGAAAAATTGTTTATCCTGAACATGAAAACCTGTAACAAATTTAAATTAATTATATAAAACTCATTACTTGTAGTTTTCCCCTTGCAAAGATCCAAAAAAAATGTACAAGTAACTAATATACATCAGTCACAACATAATCCTGGATCACCCCCACACCACAACCAGATGCTCCTTTAATTTTAAACCCATCATCAGAGACCAAGAGAAAGTCGTTTCATTGTATACAAAACAAAATTCACATGTGCCAAAAAAGACCCAAGAAAAACAAAATCCTAGTACTGACAGTGATGTCCAGTACCCTAATTAAACAGTGGCCAAAATGCCACTGATCAAAAATAAAATAGTGGCTGTATATCATTGCAATGAAATCCAAGAGGCTTTAACCCTTTGGCATCAGAAATCCAGATTCTTCCAATTATGTGAATGCACACTTCCTACATGCCAAGAGTGGAGAAAGTGGATGTGCCAGCATAGAAAGAAAAGAGCTACCACTGGCTGCAACACCCAGAGAACTGGCTTTAGTAGAGACTGCTTGCAAGGTGAGGCAGAAACCCAAAAATGGTTATTAGCTGCTTGTGTCATTAATTGGAGGTGACTGAGTCCTAAGGTTCAAAACACAAATTTAGGAGGGGAAATGTGGTTGGGTTAAGTCTTATCTTTAAAGCAAAAACAAGATAGACAAGTATAAAAGTACCAACCTGGTAACACTCCAGTCAGAGTTCTGCCAGTAGGCTGGGTAGAAAATATCAAGATTCAGACAGTTGTTTCTCATAAGGACTCAACAAAAAGAATCTTTAATGACTTGAACTGCAGGATAAGAGATCCAAAGAATGCAGTCATTTAAGTGAAGTACTATCCATGAAGTACTTTTCTGAACTGCATTTCATCATGAAAACAAAAGGAAAGAAGATATAACCGGAACTATATGCCTGTATTTCATTTACAGTGTTGGACAGATCTGTATAATGGATGCAGAATTCAAATAAGAAATTATGCCAATCAAGTGTCAAATTTTCCCTCTAACTTTCCTAAAAAGGTGTTTTCCCCCAGTATCTATTAATCACAAAGAAACATAAGCTGTGAATGTACAGTTTCAAAAATAAAAATGTAGAAACTAATGACATTATTATCACCAAGATGTCTGGTAAACAGTGAATTATGATTTTGAGACCATCAGGAAAAGGCTTTTTAAACAACCCTCCGGACTTCAAAAAATCTCTTCAGGTAGTAGATCTGTCCCAATGTCATGGCAACTAGAACAAGAGCTTCAAAGAAGGACCAAAGGACCACTCTGCTGTTTGTGTTGTCGTTGACTGTGAGGACAGACAAACAAACAAAATTTAACCAAAAAAAAAAAAAAAAAAAAAAAACCAAAAAAAAAGCATAGGCATCATAAATCATCCTAGTCCTTACTCTAGGAAAGTTAATATTTTGCACACCAAAGTACTCTAAATACTTTTGTCTTTTGTTCGCAACTCAACAAACTTAGAAGCAGAAAATTTTAGCTTTAAATGGGACCGTAAAGATTCATGGAGTATGGTCAAGCCTGCTCTGCTTGCGTATGGGGAGCAGAGAGGAAGTGACTTGCCCAACTGCCCAAGTGACTTCAACCTCTAGGGTTAAAACCCCATACAACCTTCTTTCTCCCTCACATTAAAATATTCCTACATTAGGGGCTTCTGGGTGGCTCAGTTGTTAGGTGTCTGCCTTCAGCTCGTGATCCCAGGGTCCCGGGATCGAGCCCCGCATCGGGCTCCCTGCTCCGCAGGAAGCCTGCTTCTCCCTCTCCCATTCCCCCTGCTTGTGTTCCTGCTCTCACTGTGTCTCTGTCCAATAAATTAGAAAAAAAAAAAATCTTAAAATATTCCTACATTATAATCTTTTTTGCTGAATCAGAAAATGCACTTAAAAAAATGGAGAGATTATTTCAGGATCATACAGTTATCCAAAGCACTACCTACTTAGTCAAAATGTGTCAATCTAAGTGGCTTTTTCCTTAAACATTTATTCAACAAATATTGAGCACCTATTATGTATTTGGCAGCTGTTCTACATGGAAGAGGTTTCTCAGTTTCATGGACCAATACTGGCAGTTACTACCAAACTGGAACCAGTCTCATGATCTATCCCACTCTTAAGCTAAGGATCTGATCCTTAAAGCAATAGCCATGACCACTCTATTCATGTCACATTCTTTCAACTTTTTTTTTTTTTTTTTAGATTTTATTTATTTGACAGAGAGAGACACAGGGAAAGAGGGAACACAAGCAGGGGGAGTGGGAGAGGGAGAAGCAGGCACCTGGCTGAGCAGGGAGCACGATGCGGGGCTGGATCCCAGGACCCTGGGATCATGACCTGAGCCAAAGGCAGACACTTAACAACTGAGCCACCCAGGTACCCCGACATTCTTTCAAATTTCTGATCAAATTCTACAGCCTTAACTTTTTAAAATTACTAGGTAGTTTCTGATTTTTCTACAAATGGCCAATATTAAAAACAATTATAACCAACTCTATAGTAACAATATTAATCAGCTGAATAAGTGAGTGCCGTATTTTAGATATATGCATATCATTTGTAGAACATTAACTAGATTATAATAGCTACTGGATTAATAATCACTCAAAAGAAGTGAACAGCAATTAACATGTTCCCAGAAAGATAACTTGCAGTTACCAAAAAATGTGGCTTTTCTCCCCAGAGTAAGAAGAGACACATGGCCAAAAATATTATTAATTGGAACCCTAAAAACCACCAAAGCTGCAATTTTTAGTACTAATTCCACGGCATGAAGTTTACTTCTGCTGAAAACTTAGTAACCAATATCTAGCATAACTGTGAAGGACTAGCATTTTAAGATCTATGTCTGAAAGGGGAATGATTGAGTAAAGACTTCAAAATATTAAGCCATCATGTAAAAGAAATATTTATCTCTCCCTTCACTTTACCTGGAAAAGTGTGTATATAAGACACTGTCCTCATACTATTCACACATTAGCGGTATCTAGAAGTAACACAGTATAACCACAACACTGGAGTAAAGGAGAAAAAACGTCTCATTATGTTCACCTCTAAGGATTAAGTGCTGTAGG